AAGCTGATGCACAGGTGATGGATACGAAGGTGGGGATACGCACTGTCTGTGTGAGTCCCAGTGGGGAGCACCTGGCCTCGGGGGACAGGATAGGCACGCTCAGGTAATCCCATAGAGCTGCTGGTGCAGATTGTGGGCTGGGCAGGGCAGGCATGAGTATCAAAACCAGGTCTTGCTAATTTTATTAAACATGCTGAAATCAGCCATGTTGTGTCTTAGGATATATGAGTTGCAGTCTCTGAGGGAAATGTTGAAGGTGGAAGCCCATGACTCTGAGATCCTATGTCTGGAGTACTCCAAACCTGACACAGGTAAATGTAATTGAGCTTCTTCCCTTTTGCATATGAATGTAGTGTTGAGCAAGTCAGAATGCCCAGCCATGGTATATCAGAACTTTCAGTAGTGAGCTACTCCTGGATTTCAGAGCAGGTTTGTAGTATTGGGCTACTAGAGCTAGACTTCAAAAAAGCTGCTTTCTCTTACTTTTCCTTGGAGTATTGTAGGTTGAGATTGAAACTTGTTCTGTTTGTTAGTATAGTGTGAAATTCACGGGCGTTCCTTTGTGTCCATCCGTGCAGTTAGCTACAGTATAATGTTTTGTCCTTAAGATGATATAAGAAGCTGTTTTAAAATAGTGACTAGAAGAGCAAATGACATTTTAGTAATGGTCTTGCACTCTTTTTAACTTTCTGACAGGCTTAAAGCTCTTAGCTTCAGCCAGTCGGGATAGATTGATTCACGTCTTGGATGCTGGAAAGGATTATAGCCTGCAGCAGACCCTGGATGAACATTCTTCTTCCATCACTGCTGTGAAGTTTGCAGGTAGAGAATCATGGCCTCCCTCCAAAGCTGGATTTAAGTACTGCCGTTGTCCCATTGTGGCTGTAAAGTAATTTTAACTGCTTAAACACTGGGTTAGGCCAAGCTGAAGCTGCAGCTGCTTTTTTGTCATCTTCTGTAGCTGCAGTCCTAACAGAAAGGTGATATTTGATGATACTTGCCTTCTTTTCCCTTTTGTTTTTTTCTCCTCCTCTTCTTCCCCACTCAAGAAACCTCTCCTGATTTAAGTCCTCAGCATTTCTTTGGAAAGCTGTTTTCTGCAATGATTTACTCCCTTTAACTGATGTCAGATGGCTACACACTGTTCTTAGTGAGGAGAACTGTGAACAGTCACCTCCAAAAAACCCCCAGACCCACAAAAAATGTTTTGGGATTAACTAGTCACAAGTAAATTTGTCATTGGAAACCAGCGTAGGACTTTGCATTCGTGTTAACGGAGCACATTGCATCCCCAGCACTCAGTTACTACTGATGGTCAGACAGCAGTGTGCTGTGTTATGCTATTGTCAGGGAACAAGGGTTGGCTACTCTGCCAGGGGAGCCAGTAACCAAGGGTGACAGGAAGGCAGGCAAAGGTAGTGGCCTCATTGGCCATGAGAAAGTCCCACAGTACCTGAAGAAGGTGGACCAAGTCGAGACCAGTGACAGTAACTAGATCCAGCCAGTAGTCCAGATCACCAGACAAATCCATAGTGATAAGACAGGTCAGCAATTGAAGATCAGGAGCAGTCTGGAGACAGTGAGCAGGATCAGCCACAGTTCAGTGCTTGCCAGGCAAGCCCATAGCAGCAAGGCAGGTTTGAGTTCAAATCAGGAAGCTGAGTCCATGGGTCAGGATTCAGATCAGCAGGGTATGTGGCCAGGCACACATGTGGCTGCAATGCTGCTGCAGTGTCGCTCAGTTGGGGTTCAAGGATGAGAACCTCACCTTGAAAGTATCTCCCAAATGAAGGGCAGGGACCTTACTGAAGCTTCATAGCAGAGGCTCCCCGAAGCTGCTGTGAGGCTTTTTCAGGTTTTTTCTCAAGGAGCTCCAAGGTCAGTAAAAGTTTCTCTGACAGGTCTGTCTTACCAGTGAGCTGGCCTTCAATGCAGCCAGCCAAACTCTTAGGAGATGAGGGAACTGCACTCAAGGCCCTGGCAGCAAAGGCCTTTGTGCTAGTCTCTGAGCTAAGTGCAGCCCTGCTCTAAGAGGGTGCAGTTCAAGTGGACTTGTGTGATGTTGGATCTGTTTTCATTACATGGATTTTTATCAGATGTTGCTTTGCTGAAGGAGCAGATGGGTTACAAAAGAGTGCTAAGGGAAGAAGAAAAGCCTGATCCTGCTGTAAGAAAGGGCAGCAAGAAACACGTGACTGATTTTGAAGACTGAAAAGTGCCTGTTGCCCGTTTTCAGCTCATACTGAGTGTGAACCCATCATATTGCCACAGAGTGTCGTGGCACATAGACAGTAAGCACGTGAGCATACTATCGGGGAAGAAGACAGAATTGCATCCTAATCTGTTGTGTAAAGCCTCTGTATTAAGGCCTCATGCACTCTGAGCATTAACAAATGCTGTCTCTGAGAAGGGACTTCTGTTTTGCTGCAGCATCCTGCTGCTTAGGTAGGAGTCAGTCTTAGTTAATCAGGACTGGAATAAATAAGCAGTGGTATAAATTGAAACATTTTTTCCGCCTTGTATTTGTGTTTATCTTTTGATCGGCTCCTGTCTTTTTGTTCCAGCCAACGATGGGAAAGTGCGAATGATAAGCTGTGGGGCAGACAAGAGCATCTATTTCCGCACTGCGCAGAAGGTAACCTTATTACAGCTTTTTGTGCACTTTTTTTTAATAATCTCTCCACAAAGGAACTACTTTAAAGAGTGATATCAGAGTTTATGTATGAGCTTGTTGCTATTTCAGCTGCAGTGTCTCCCACTGACTCAGTGCAAGAGATTACATTTGGAGAACTAGTTCTGTGAAGCATGCAGCTGCTCCCAGCCTGACCTCTCTCAGCAAGATGCAAAGTAGAGAACCGTTAGGATATCTGCTTTTCTGTTGTTGCCAGGGCTATTGTGAGGAGTGGTGAAAGAGTATGGGCTGGAGAGGAGTTCATTGTGCCTCCAGTCCCAGCTGCTCCCAGCAGACGTGGTTAGTGGGAAGTGTTGGTTTGTGCTCACTGTGTGAGAGGACTCATCTGTATTTAGAAGTTTTTAATAATGGGTTAACTACGTGATTTTTGACACAGTCTTTACCCACATGCTTAGACAGGAGAAGGGGTTCAGTTTACCCGAACACATCACATTGTTAGGAAGACCACTCTGTATGACATGGACGTGGATCCCAGCTGGAAATACGCAGCTATTGGATGCCAGGATCGTAACATCAGGTTAGTTTACTCCTTGTCTTGAAAATATTTTTGCAGTCATAAATGAGTTGGTCAAGGCGGCCCCATCTCCCCCATTCTTCTAGGTTCTTTGACACAGCATTTTCAGACAGATCTGAGGCCTCACCTCACACTCTGTGAGGTTGAACTCTGGCTTTCTGCTTGCTGATAAAAAGCTGTGGATATATGCAAATGCCCATGGGACTCGGCTTCTCACTGTGTTGCTCTGCAGAGCAGTGCCTTAATACTGGGAGAGCGAGCGTGCCTTCCTTGGCACATCCTTGAGCTGTGGGGCAACAACTTCTGCACTGTGGTAATTTTTGCTTTTAAAGGTATGTCTAGTGAGAAGCTGTGAGGTCCTGTGGAATAGCTGGGACTGTAGGAACCTAAAATTGAGCTAGGTGTGACTGTCTTTGGACAAGTGGAATCCATTCTCTGCTCCTTTTTTATCCATTTCTCCAACCTGTCTGCTTCTACCTTCAAAGCAAAGGTGACGCTCTGTAGTTGTGTGTCTCCTCCTGTTGTATCTGGGTGAGATGCTGAGAGTTTTGGTCATAGCTAAATACCACTGCTGAATGTAAGTTAGTTTTGTATTCTAATGTAAATAAAGGGTCTTGCTCTCTTAACCCTTTCCTTTAGTGTGAAGGAGCCAGGGGTGTTTTCATAGCAGGGAGGACTGACTGAAGCTTACTAAAAGCCATTCCTGCTACATAACCATTAGCCATGACAAGGCATGGCAAGGTTTTCTCCCTCCCATTTGACCTCTCCTTCAGTGCCATGATGCTATACTTGGTTTTGATTATCAGCTTGAGAATCAAGCCTCAATTTTAATTCAGGTAATCTGCTTGATATCATATAATCCAGTCTTGGGCCCCTACATTACTTCCAGGGTTGTTTCTTGAACCGTTTAAATGATTGGTGGTTTATAGTTCATAGAGGTCATTTCTCCACTTCCTGTGGCTTAGCCCTGTTCCTTGCATCTCATGTGGAATGAGGAGCAGAAAGAGAAAAGGATCCCAGTGCCAACAGCCACAGAGCACTACCTGGGCAAAATGAGCAATGTCTTATGTCATCCCCCTCAGGGTTTTCAACATAAGCAGTGGAAAGCAGAAGAAGCTTTACAAAGGATCCCAAGGTGAAGATGGCACCCTCATCAAAGTAAGCTGTTTTCTTTCTTCCCTTTTTCCTTTGTTCCACCTCTTCTGAATGCAGCTCAGGGCTAAGAAAATGAAATACAAATCTGAACACAGGGACCTTTTGGGAGG